CGGAAATGTTATCGTTTCTGTGTCACAGACGCTAGGTCCTACATTATAGGAAATGTGAAGGTCTCTAGGTTTTCTGTCGGCTTGGTGTCACAGTCACTGTCTGTGACATCTTTAACCCTGACACTGTGGCATTCTGTGACACCGCGACACTGTGGAGAGCTTTTGGGTGTCTTTTTTATACACGAGCCTGTTTCATTAGTTGAAGATTCGGGTGGAGCAATTACTCAGGTGTTCCAGTGCAAGTGGTGATTATCTGTGGAAGGAAAAGGAGCTGCTGGCTCACTCCAATTAGCATCTCTTCTTGCTCAGTGAGAATGCTCAGACGAGAAAGACGCAGCATTCCGCCCGCGTCGAGAGCCTTGGCCCCGAAAGCGAAATGAAGGGCGCTGGAAGCGGCGCTTCGACGCGCCTCTCCTTGGCCTCAGCCGGCCAGCGGGTCCGGTGTGAGCAGGTGTGGCACTCGGCTGCCGGCGACGAGGAGCTCAATAGGTAATGAGGCGCACTTAATGCCCAGTCAGTCGGTCAGCGTGACTGCAGGCAGTGCGAGGATGAACATTCCTGTCAATGTATATTCATGGCAAATTACATTTACTTTGATTGTATTTACTTAAGAAACGAGGCAGCACCGGTCCACAAAATTCCTTTGAGGACAAGAAAAATGTTCAAATTTAGAAATTTGTATTACGAAAATAAATTTGCTACTTGTGCACTATATGTCTGAGTGGCCGTCTTTTTGTGGATATAAAGGATAAAAGAGCAATTAGAAAAGTAGGAATAAAAGATTTAAAAAACGCGATAGAAAGAGTACGAGAAATATACATATACTTTTATTGTCTACAACTAAAGAATGAATATGAATTTGTTTAGGTGATGATACCATGCTGATAATATGATGATAATAAACAAAGAAATTCACCGAGGTTGTCTAGACATGCATTTAACAATGCTAAAAATACCAGTTACTAAGAGCAATGTGTGGGCCTTGACATTGAAAAGCAACAGCATCATCTCGAATTGTCATAGGGAATCATGGCATGTTCTCCCTTGTTATGCTGCTGAAACGCGCTCTGAAGGTTCTGTTTGGGGAAAGGTGCTGAAACACGATGAAGTGGGGAAATAAGTGGGGAAATGTGAGTGAGAAAGGAAAACACGAAGGGAGAAAGGAAAGGGAAAGAAATGGTGAGGCAGAGAAAGCGTAGGAGGGACAGAATAAGAAAAGGAGAGGTGATGTGTGGTGATGGCTAAAGGGAGAGCAAGATGTCAGGAAATAAACATGGTAATGCGTATTTGGCAGATAAAAGAAAATAGCAAAGAACTAATGTAGAAAGAGAAGGCGGGACGCAGAGAAAGAGAGAGAGGGATGCGGGGGAGGCAGGTTAGAGAACGTGAGAGTAGCAGAATGTAAAGGATTTGAGTAGATGTGAGCAAGACGGGGAAATAGATAGAGGAAAGGTAGACAAAGCCGTCGTCTCCTCAACTGGCAACACCGCATCTGCCAAAAAAATCAACTTGACGTTCAGGAAAGCAAAGGTGCCACGGCGGTCCACCGTTCCGAAGATTGTATTTTCCGGGCGTCGGGACGGACGCGCGAGTCAGGGAGGGAAAGGGTCGGGGAGGGAGCAGGGAGAATGCGCTCCTCAGGCCTTGAGCTCTGTTCAGCCCGACTTCGCCCTGCGCCGTGAGGGAAGAGATGGATAAAAGGCAGGGGAGAGAGAGAGAGAGAGAGAGAGAGAGAGAGAAGAGAGAGAGAGAGAGAGAGAGAGAGAGAGAGAGGAGGGAGGGGGGGGGGGGGGGGAGGAGATTCATTAAGAGCTACAGGTGTGTCATAGGATACTCTCAGTGTACAGAGAGATAAGAGTCATTGGCGGATGTTTTCTGATTGAGATTACACTCCAAGACCGAAAATTACGAAAACACACACACACATATATGTGTGTGTGTGTATATATAAATATATATATATTTACATATATATGTATATATACATATATATATATATATATATATATATATGTATTGTAAATATATATGTATATGTATACATATATATATGTGTGTGCGTGTGTTTATGCAATATATATATATATATATATATATATATATATATATATATATATATATATATATATATATATATATATATATATATATATATATATATATATATATAATATATATAGGATATATATATATAGATAGAGAGAGAGAGAGAGAGAGAGAGAGAGAGAGAGAGAGGTATGTATATATAAAAATCTATGTATATGTATATGTATATGTATATATAATATATAGTATATATATATATATATATGTAAATATATATATAATCTATGTATATGTATATATATATATATATGTAAATATATATATAAATCTATGTATATGTATATATATATATGTATGTATGCATATATATATAATTTATGTATATATTATATATATATATTATATATATATATATATATATATATCTATATATGTATATATATATCTATGTATA